TGTGGTCATTTTAAGGAAGTGCTAGATATGAATTTGTCAGTGGTTTTAGTGCAGTACTGTCATGATTTGTCAAATGAAATGAATGCAGAAACTGTTTGAATGTACTCTGTCCTCCATCAGGTTTGTGTCATGTCTTTGACACTCTGGGAATGTAAGGAACGGTAGGAGCATGAATGACTTCCTTTTTTTTCTGTAGGTCATGACAGCAGGCTTTGTTATGTGACACTTAACTGGCTCTTTTGGAGCAGGCAAACACTCTTGATTTGGTCTCATGATCTCCACACTAAATAGCAAATGGTGTGTTTACCGTTTCATGCTCATTCACTACCAGTCAAATGTTTGGACACATCTACTGCTTATTTTTTATTACTATTTTCCATATTGTAAATAATAGTATATTCAGTATTATGGCTGTCAAAAAAAAATCGAATTTCGAATATTCGTCGAATTAAAAAAAAAATCGAAATCTAAAGACATTATGGCAGTTTTTCCCCATCCCACTGTATCTCAAGTTTTTAAATGAAGAAAGTAGCCTACTCTTTGTGATTGGTTTTCGGTCCTTTGTATTAAACTATACATACATGCATGGAGCTGTTTTTTTTTTTATCTTTTTATAAATAACTTTATTAATTATATATGGTTTATAAACATTATTTTAAACATTATGCACTTTTTTTTCAAAGATAGTCGTGTTATTTTATTACGCGTTGAAGAAACGTGCATAATATTTTGCTCGATGAGCCCTCTTGTGGCCTCCAGAGAGAAGCCAAAAGCTTTTTCCCCCCTAACTGAAATTATGCCTTTTAAATTCGAATATAATTCGAATTTTGATAATATTTAAGTAGAAAATTCGAATTTAGTTTTTCAGTCATTTTGACAGCCCTATTCAGTATATATACACTACCATTAAAAAGTCTGGGGTTGGGAAGTCTTTTATGCTCTTATTTAATATGACTGTTTTCTATTTTAAAATGTAATTCATTCATGTGATGGCAAAGCTGATTTTAAGCAACCATTATTCCAGTCTTTAGTGTCGCATGATCCTTTAGAAATAATTCTGAATGCTGATTTGATTTCTCATTATTATTATCAATGTTGAACACAATTATGCTGGTTCATATTTTTGTGGAAATCATGATAAAATTACTTCAGGATCTCTAATGAATAGAAAAATTCAAAAGAACAGCATTTATTTGAAATAGAAATCCTACACTGGATAACATTATAAATGTTGTCACTTTTGATCAATTTAATGAGTCCTTGCTGAATCAAAGTTATTTCTTAAAAAATATTACTGACCTCAAACTATTGAATAGTAGCGTATATTAGAGGAGCGTAGCCTTATTTAAACCAAACAGCTTTTGCCAAGTAGATTCTTAATGTTTTATGTATTCAAATTCTTGAAGAATCGAGCTAAAAAACAATGGCATTTTCCTACATGGCTTTGCACTACATGTATACAAGGAAATATTACATAAAAATACATAGTATTAATTATATTTACCTACACTTAAGTTTACAAAAACATAGGAGAAATGCCAAGCAGAGATGTTTGTGAGCATATGTTTGTTTGTGTGATAACTCACATATTTTCACTTTTTTTAATCGGTTCAATCTAAACGATTCACAGACATGAATCAAACTTACCAGCTTTACCGTTTTTGCTTAAATCAATCTCATCTCCTCTAATGGGAAATTTAATGGCCAAATTCTCTCAGCGAAGTTCATGAGGTGCATCCTGGGATTATTTTTAAATGGTATTGAAGAAGTTAGCACGCTTGCATTCAGTCAGGGGTGTCCATGTTTGGCTGGTAGTGTCGTCTGTAAAGTATATGTATTTTATTAAATCAATAGCTGCCCCAAAGATTTAACAGCCAAAAAGGGTATTTTCTCCCTCATTTGTTGGCTGTTATAAGTGACTGAGATGACCAAGTCCATGAGTAGAATGTCCTCTCAAACACGCAGGGATCTTTTCCCCTTCTCTCTCTCTGTCCTCTGTGCCGCCCGTACCGCAGGTGTCAGTGCCCAGTATTGTGAGGATATGAGCTGTGCTGCCGATGCCCCTGCCTGCCCTCACTCTCCCCCACTGCTTCACATGCCATCACTCCTCGCCAAGCTCCGCCTGGATCCAGCGTTTCAACGCACAGATGCCTGAATGCACTTTCTTGGGGGAACTTTTCAAGCTAACTCTTTGTTTTCCCAAGCGAGTTTATCTTGTCGGTTTGCTTTACATCACTTTGACTGCAGGAGTCACGTTGACTGACTCATTCTCGTGAAATTTTTACTCACGTTTTAACACTTCTGATGGAGTACAATGTTACCCTCCCCCTTCTGTTTCCATTGTGCAATCATTGGTGAAAACAAAACTCTCCGGGCAGAACGTGTCTCTCCCTTTCCTTAATATCCCAAAAGATCTTGTGTGACCCTTATTACCAAATGAATGCGGCTCTAATGTGAAAGAGTGAGTATAAAGTGTACCTAACAAACTCTAAAGTCGTCTTCTGGGGAGAGTGTTCATATTGTATATTTGGTTTAAAACAAAGATTTAAAATGCATAGAAATTAACTAAATCGATGGTGGCGTACATGAACCCCCCCCCCAATCAAGATTCTCTGCGTATAGCAAATGTTTTAAAAGAAATCTATTAAGAATTGTAAACTATGTACCTTGCGCTTTTAAAGGGGTTTCTGGCCTGTGTGCAAGGAGCCTCGGGGCTCCGGGGCCTCAGAGTTGAACTTCAGGGAGTAGTGTGTGTTTACACGTCACCTCTGCACACTTTGTGTTTCCATTTGTATTAGAAAATGTGTCTGTCTATTGATCACAGGAACGTTTTGGGTCCTCTTTATTCTGAACCCTCCATTCATGCGAATGTCAGAAGGTGCAGCATAAAAGGCACAGAAAAGAGGCAAATGTTTCTATTTTGAATCCTCCCATAGGTCATTTTGATATTTTGTAACACACAGATGATCCGTTTTGTTTGTTTTTTAATACCTTTTGGGTGAGGGCTGTTTGAATTTGGTTGGCATTACTCATAATTGTGTCATACCTGCCACCGATATAGATTACACACTTTATTTTTTATTTTATCCTAGTTTGAAACTTGTCCTACTGACTGAATTTAGGGGATATGTAAGTAATACTGATATATGAGAAATTGAAATGCAAATGATTGAAATGCAAACTTATTTTCTAAATAATGGAGGTTCAACCTCTGGTCAAACACTGTGCCATCCCACAGCTGCCAAGCCCGGTCACTACTGCATTGTCTCCTCTCCTGTTGACAGGCTATGAAAGAGTGATGGTTATTTCAGTTCTGATGGACCTGGACACTCCTATCGCCAACACTACAAAGAAACGAAACGGGGAGCGATAGAGAGGGGCTGGTCTATGAGGAAGGGCTACATTTCTTGTAAAGAACATCAGTATTCATTTGCCGTGGTCAAAATGGCATACTAACATACTGCGTACTGAATTTCTTTTGAAAAGTAGTGTGTTAGTGTGCCGTTTCACACGCGACCATTGTCCTCTGGCTCAGCATCACCACTATAACTCATATGTAACCTGTATCAAAATGTATAGATCGTGTATCATGTTATTGAATGTCTAAAAAGATTATACAAAAGTTTAAAAATACAGAATAAATGGCTTGAAATTGTATTAAAGTATTCATGAATCAGAGAAAACAAAAGTCTAGAGATAAATGAATTATTTTTTCTGTTCTGTAATTACTGTTGTGTTGATGGAGGAACACTGGTCAGAGGATCCGCTGTAATAAAAGTAAATTTAGTACAACGTCACGTCTCACTTTTTATTTATATGATACTTTTTATTTATAAATATTTTTATTTTATGTATTATGATTACCAGCAGCTGAATGGTTGCATACAAGCTGTTTATGTGTCAGCTGGGGTTATAGATCTAAATTTTAAATTGAAATGTTCTTTACAATATTGATTCTTATATTGACAATTTTATGTTTTTTGCTTTCAGCTGTCCATGCATTTTTTGACACACTTTTTGATACTGACTATCAGTAAACTATTTTTTTTTTTAAAGGATAAACAGGGTTTTTTTTCCTAACCCAAGCAATTATTATTATTACTATTAATATTCTGTTTTCCCATCTAGTCATCAAGTAAATGTAGCTCTCAAAAACAGTATGTTGACTACAGTTCTGTGTAACGTGGTTGTCCTGCATCTTCAATAAACAAGCTACAGGTAGTCCAAATTAGTCATTTAGCAGACGCTTTAATCCAAAGCGACTTACAAATGATGACAATTGAATCAATCAAAACCAACAAAAGAGCAACAATATGCAAGTGCTATGACAAGTCTTGGTTAGCACACGTAGCAAGGTTTATATATTTTTTTATTTCACAGCAGAAGGCAGTTTAATAACACTGGTATAACAAAATTTACAGAGTCTGAAGACTCCAAAAAAAGTACAGTTGATAAACTGTTCTAAATTTCAATTTTACAATTTTTTTATTACATTTTTGGTAATTAGATTGTTTAAAGGCATTATTATTAATGCATTATTAAGCTCTATATCAGAAATTATGAGAAAAACACGTAAATATGTTTGTGCCACATTGTGTCCAGAAGGAGAAACACAGACCCATTTTGAATAAGAGGCTAAATGAGTCATATGATAAAATTACTGCATTAAAAGAACAATAACAAAATTAATTAATAAATCAATAAATAAACTTTTTGTTGGGTCTTATTAACCAACTAAGCCATTTTAGATTCACATGTTTTCACTTAAATTCCTAATTTTAATTTTCACTTAAGTTCTCACTTTGCTGGGAACTTTAGCATTTCGGTTTTTTCCCATATTTATTTATTCATGATAAACAACTTACAACAATTTTCAAGAACATTTTGTACTGATAAATAATATACTTCCTAGTTAACAAGTTGGCAGATGACGTCAAGGAGTCCTAAGGTCGAAAACGAGTTTCGATCCTTGCGAGCCACCGTAGATATGTGTGTATCCCCTGAAGACTCATGAACACTACTCACATTATTATGTGTTGAATGTACGTGATCTCAGGCTGTACTGACCATTATAAACAGAAGACGTGTGCGTGAATGGAAGGTGTACATGAGTTTACAGCTCGCGATATTCCGATTCAGGGTAACGTTACTGATTACTTTTAACTTGTCAAAAGTGAAACATCAGATGTTTATATAAGGACCCAAGACTTTAAAACATATCCGACGGCTCTATTCTGCTTGATTACGAATCGCGATGCCTTTCTCTATAACTTGGTATCGTGTTTTTTAAGTAAACAAAACTAACTTTCCAACGGTGAAGGTGTGGATCCTCGAGCTCAGAATGGATCATCAGACGCGTTTGAACACGGACATTTGCATTTATAAAGTCCTGCAGGGTGTTGGGATTATGTGGCAGAGATTTAGTAAACCTTACCGTATTGAATGTATTTGACTGCACTCGGATGAAGTCATGAGCTGTCAAGTGATCATCCTGTCTGGATTGATTTGTCTCTGTGTGACACGGTGTTGCCCTTCCAGACTGACACACTGCGACAATGGCAAGGTAAACATTATTAGACTTTTGTTCAATTCACTCATTCAGCATGCACGTTAAATCAAATGATAACCATAATAATCACTCAGGAATAATTGACATGACAAGCAGTGACAGATGTAATCCTAAATTATATGACCTAATCATCTAAAACTGCTTGAAACATTTCCCCATTCGTGTAATTATTATTAAGCCAGTTTTGAAATACTAAATGAAGTGATCTTGTATCACATACAATTATTTCAGACAAATCTGGTCACAGACCTACCAGGACCTGACGAGCTTTTGTGTCAAGAGCTTTGGCCACAGTCACAGACGGTACAATATCTTTTATTGTACAGTGCAAAACTAAACTCAGTACCAAATGCACACTGATGATAAAAAACATGACTGACAGATGTTCCTTTTTATTGCAGAATATGCCTGATATTGACACAAAACATACTATAAAGGTAAATGAATTTCAAATGAGTCATACTAACAAGATTTTTCACTCTCAAGTAAGACACACTGTAATGACCAAATAAACTATGTATTATAGATAGCAGGATGTTTTGTTTGTCTATCATATCAACGGACAACAGTAACAAGAAAACTATTAATAAAAGTATCTTTTAACTTTGATTTCTGTCCTGTGCAGGCTGCTGATTACATCTGTATGGACACACCCATTACATACAATGACCGCATACCCACCCAGTAAGCATTGACGCACCCTCAGATCTCTTATCTGATTCCATATCCGGTTCCAGTTCCGATTCCTCTTAACTATCCTGGTTCATTAACAGCTCCATTAAAAAAAAATTTTCAGTACTTTTCTCACTATAAGTGTGTGTGTTTGAATCGACAAATTAGAGTCACTTGTTCGAAATTCGAACTACACTTTGATCGTATGTTTTTGATCCACTAAAAAGAAGCAGTTCATAAGAGTCATTTGTTCTAAATTCGAACTACGTTTGATTCGCTAAAAAGAACCGGCTCACATAAGTCATTTGCTCAAACTGGACTGCACTGATAGCGCTGTCTATTTAGTGATACAGTAGTTACTGTAGTACAGTAGTTACTGTAGTAACTACTGCAAGAAACTGTTAAGTTTTACATTTTTGGCACGGTATTCCGTCCGCTTTGGCAGAAGAATGCACGTGCGCGAACACTTAACGGAAACGAACGTTATTCGAAAATAATTTCTAACCCTGTTTAAATATGTGTAGTTTATCAGTTTAAATAGCTGTGTTTGTTAACATAACTTACTATTTTTTCAGTGGTCCTTACCGGCCTGTTGAGGCAGAGAGTGGAGAGTATCTTTACTGCCCCCCTCAGCGATGGCTACACAACCTCAAAGTAATGCACAATCACAGTATTTCTATAGCTAAAGCTGTTACTGAAGATAACTTGATAAGCTCTGCACGTGTTGTTTGTGACAGAATGGAGCACTGGTGTTTCTGTATCACCCGTGTGTCTCAGCGGAAGCTCACAGGAGCTTGGCGGGGTTGGCTCACTCGTGTCTGTCTCATTACATCCTCACACCTCACCCCTGGCTCAGCCAACACAGAGTGAGTCATTCGCTGTCACCATTCACAACAACGACTCGTGTAACACAGGTGTCTACATCGAACACGGGAGGACTGTCTGTTCACAGTAGTTGTGGAAAGAGAAGGGAACTTGTCACGTGGGTTGATTGATTTAATTGACTGACGTCAAACAAATATAAATTACATTTAGTAACATTTATTTGGTAACATTTTTATAAAATAACTGTATTTAAAAATATAATTTATTACTGTGACGGCAAAGTTGAATTTTCAGCATCATTACTCCAGTATTCATTGTCACATGATCCTTCAGAAATCATTCTGATATGCTGCTCAAGAAACATTTTTTTATTATTATAATTTTTAAAAACATTTGTGCTGCTTAATATGTTTGTGAAAAAACAATTTATGCATGAAAGTATTAATTACTTTCAAAATTAACATTATTGTATGTAGACTAATTAGTTAACAACACCTAATGCATAAACTATCTGTAACAAATTGAGCCGTTCTATAAAATGCTATTTATCTATCTATTTATCTAAAAAGCACCATTTCTGACAAATTTCTCATGTCTGTTATCTTTCTGAAAGCCTTTAGCGGTGGTCTTGTGGGGTCGCTCACTAGAGATGTCTCGCATCACGCTGGGGGTTTGTGATTGGTTGTTTACCATTTCCTCCAATATTAGTCTAGCTAATACAAGCCAAAGAGCAAAGTACAATCTATATTTGACAAAACCAGCACCTATGGACAAACCAGAGAACACCAGTCAAGAGATGTCCAAAGTGGAGAGATTAAAGGTGAAGAAACTGCATTACATTGACCAATAAATCAATCAAGATTTGTATGATGATGCAGTCGTTTTATGTATATAGAAATACAAATAATATCCTTCTATGCCAAATTTCACTTTCATCTTTTAGTTCCTTAAAAACTGCTGCATGGAGACTCTCAGTCTCATCAAGGTACAGAGGACCAGAGGGAGAACCAGGAAGAGCAGGATGGTCGTCAAACAATCCCTGGAAGAAGTGGAACTGAAAGATGATGTCAAACCAGATGAACTTAACCACACAGAGAGTGCAAAACTGAACCATAAAGACACGCTACTTCAAAATCATACAAAAAAGATGGCCTCCTTCTCAGTGCTAACTGTTACACAATCTCTCAGTTCTGCAAAGGACTCTAAGGAGCCTGGAGACAGTGCTAAAGACAAATCAAAGACAACTGAGAAGCAATTTCCACAAAATAATGTGACAGAAAGACATAAATACCAAACAGACAGAAAAACACATAAGAAAACTATAACAGAAGGTAAGAAGCATCGCATTAAGACTGACACAAAGGCTCAGAGGTCTGGATTTGAATGCGGGGAGCTTGGACAGTGTGGAATCTCAGACTCCTCAAAGTCTCCTCATTTAGGAGGGCCGCTGAGGGGCGAGAGGATACCCATGCAACGTACAGACGAGGCCGTGTGGGCAGCAGGCGCTTTGGGATTCCTCTTAGTGCTCCTCACCCTGTCTGTGCTCCATACACGCCTCTATCGCCACTGGAGATCTTCAACCAGTCTCTACTGGCACGACAACCAGCAAGACTGTGAGAGTGTGGGTGGTAAGTACACACTATGTGTTCATGCTGCACAAAACCGTTCATTCTGTCACTTTCCCATAAATGTAGACTTATGAGAGGTGTCGTTTGTGTTCCAGACATCATCCGGCGGAGGCTTAGGATGGTTGGCCGGAGGAAGAGGAGGAGTAGCCAGAACAGGAGACAGGAATGTCCACTGCTGTCTAACTCCAGCAATGAGGAGAACTCTGACTAATGGACAGGATTGGTGAACACTAGAAATCTTACAAACTCTGTTGGAATATCTGCCCAATCTTGTGGCGCTCATGAAGTAAATATGGACCTTTTTATGAAGCTAAGGATAACTTTTGTCCACATTCAGACAATGCTTCAAAAAGACAATTTGTCTCTGGTATTTCATATAGTGACAGTTAAGTGATAAAGGTTAATCATTTTATTTCTACAGACAGTTTTCTACCATTTAGTTTGAACTTTTACACATTGTGTATCTTGAGTGTTGCATTGTCTATTGTTGTTATAGCATACTGGTAAATTAAAGCCGCGATGAAATGGAAGTAGTGACAAATAATATTTTTCATATTGTGATGTACATCAAAGCGTAACGAATTATCAAAAGAGAAAAAAAGTAGGGTAGGGGCTCTATTCTATCCATCGATAGTTTATTAGATTTTGATATATGGGCATTGCATTCAAAAGTGAAGGCAGAAAGGCATATGTCACCAAAGAACCAGAAGGACTAGTTAGGACATTTTTTAAAAATGAAACATATGTATGGATGAAGTACTGCACAATAAGATCACTAACATGCATTTAGAAAATAGATGAGAGTGAATTTCCATTTCATGCTGATTTGTATAAAGGAATGTGGAATGTTTTGGTCACACTACAGCATTTGTTTCCTGCTTAGATATTACTTTATCTCACGGTAGGTTTCTAAAATGCAGTGAGCATTTACTCACCCTCGTGTTGTTCCAAACCTGTATGACTTTTTTTTCTGTGGAACACAAAAGAAGACATTTTGAAGAATGTTAGAAACCATGTTTTAGTGACTATTACATTCCAAAGAGACATTTCCCAAAATATCTTATTTTATGTTCTACCGAGGAAAGAAAGTCATATAGGGGTGAGTTTTGTTTTTGGGTGAACTTCATTTCCTTGCAGTTAGAAGCCTCTTATGATAACGATGTCTTACTCTATAGTCCCATCTGTTGGTGAGAATGACTGTGGTTTATGTGTCACATGACTTGACACAAGGAGATGGCACTAGAGAGCTCTCCAGACCCACTGGCACTCTGTGAATAGTTTAAATTATGTAACTGCGCTGAAGTAGAGCAAATGCTTTTTCATGTGTAGCATACTAATTGTATTGGTCAGTAGAGAGCTCTCCAGACCCACTGGCACTCTGAATAGTTTAAATTATGTAACTGCGCTGGAAGTAGAGCAAATGCTTTTTCATGTGTAGCATACTAATTGTATTGGTCAGATCCATACTAAAATAGTGGAGAAGAAAATAAAGACATTAATTCAGATCCTGTTTGGGTTATGAACTACATATTTTGTATTAATAACCTTGATTCTCCGATTAAAACCTCTCAAAGTGAACACAGACTTTGAGGTTATAGGTGTAGGCTAAATGAGTTAAATGTAATCAATCTGCGTGTTGTGGTAACTGTGTTTAATATGTGTTTATTTACTTAATTTTTTTCTAGGTCACATCTTCAACCTGAACACTCTGCCGAATACTGTCTGAAATCAAATTTAGTGGCCTTACAAAACCGTATGCAAACAAAGCACTGTTTTTTAATGCAACCCCAAAATGTTCAAATCTTCCTTTAAAATATAACCATGAATTAGTAGTTTTCATAAATATTTTCACACTTTTAAGTGAGAGACAACAAAAATGTTATCTATTCATTTGAGTAATTTGAAACCCACGTTTTGTCTAGAAAAATGTCTAATCTGCTCTTTTACGACAAAAGGGGGGCTAATATTTAAGTCATTATTCACAGATCAACTTACCTTCAAAGCTAAAATAATATAATAGCATTTAGTATTTATAGTATTTCATTCTTGCGTATTTCAACATCACACTGAAGTCACATTACTCCAGGTTGCAATCATTTGTCACTGAAGGATTAAGGCAAAATACTCATCATTTTTAGCATACATCCTCATCCTATGTCCTCCTCACCCCTCCATATATTAGATCTCCAAGCGGTTTTTCTGAATCCTAAACAATGCAATTACTGTTCAACAGAATTAACCATATGATTGCCTCAATGATAACCAGGGTCATCTTTTGCAAGTGTGAGTGGTTGTGAGTTGTGCAATGGAAGTCATTTGAAAGCAAAATAAGGAATGCAATGCAATCTGTGGATCATTGGCTTTCGGCTATGTATTGTGAAACCATAGCAGAAAACAAGAGATGCCATAGAAACATGAAGCGAGCTGTTAAAGATGTATATGTGCTACATATGTGCTCATTATATGAACTAGCAATGTCACTGTGAATGCTCATATTGGCTCAAACTAAAGAGGTTGCATTTCCAGCACTGAATGATAACTTAAACATTAGATCTGTTCAAACATGATGCTTGTGATATCTTGGAAAAGCAGAACGTTCTGTTGAAATTTAATTGGCTATTTCCTTCTTGCTCAAAGGCACCCTGACAGGGCTCTTGGCAGCCATGTGAGGCTCAATGTGTCCAAGAAGGGAAATACTGTTGCATGTTTTCAGGACGTGTTTTTCTTTTTCCTTTTTCTTTTTTTTCAGCCTGTATGTTTGATGAACGTGAGAAAGAAAATGTATTCCACCCTTTTAGACTGTCGCTTGTTTGTCTGGAGTCTGCTAATGTTGTATTTAACATGCTACAAATTGAGCCCAATTGTACAAGGAATTTTATTTGATCTATTCTCCTCACCGCAAACAATTTTACAATTAGCCACTTTAGCATTTTATGGCAGAAAGGCAGTGGGGCCACAATTATATCTGTTTCAAACATTACTTTACTGCCATTTCTTGGACTGTAACTTACAATTACATGTTTCTTTAAATACTGTCCTCCTACTCATTCAGGTTACCCGTTTTAGCACTATCCACCAAAAAAGCATTTATAGAGGGTTTCATGCTAAGTCTGCTTTACTGGAATCCAACACTGTGGAATGTCTCGAGACATGTCATGTTCTCATAAAACTAATTAAATAGAAATTGATAGATGGAAACATTACTAATACCTGCATAAATCACTACATGTAAGGGATAATATATTATGGATGCCCGTTTCAGCACCAGAATAAAAAATTACTGGGGACTAGGGACTGTGACTTTTTATTCTTTCTTTTGTGACTTTTTTTCCCCCACAAAATTCCCGCAATTTCCCACACAGTTTATAACTTCAAATTGTGAGAGATAAACTCACAATTGTGAGAAAAAAGTCAGAATTGAGGGCAATTATCATTTTTATTTTTTTCCATGACAGAAACTAAAATAAATTCTGTTTATATCTCTCAATTCTGACTTTTTTTTTCTCAGAATTGCACTAAACAAAATCTGAATTGTGAGATAAAAAAGACTTAAGTACCTTTTCTTTATTATTATTTTATTTTATTTTTATTCTGTAGTAGAAACAGGCTTCCATAATATTCAGTTGGTCCTCATAGCAAATGTAATTTTGCTGTAATAACCGACAGACTGTACATTGTTACTGATGGACATTAAATATTGATTTTTGGGTTTCAGTTATTTTATAATCTAATTTCTGCTAAGAAAAAAAGTCCATTACAAAAGCAATGAGATGGAACAAGTAATATTAAAAGTCATTAATACTATAATATTACCAGTCAGATTGACAAATCAGAAGTGAATAGAGTGGACTCACTAATTGGTCTCAAAACTGTGCAAGCAATAAAATGCCAGTGAAGATGTATAGCATTATTGCAATGAACAATGAAGCAATTTCCCTCTGTTTAAGAGCACATGCAAAGGCTAAAACTTTAATCTTTAAAATTGTAAGGATTGTATCAAAAATTATTGTTCATAAACTATTGCATCTGCAGCTATTCATTAAAAAAATTAAAACTCTTTCATAAAAATATTTACACAACTAGACTTGCAGTATTCTCAAGGAAAGGCAATGAAAATAAACAACTGTGCATGCATTTATAAATGCTGCAGATCACCAGATATAACACTCCACTGTGCAAAACATTGCTGACATTAGAGCTATTTAGGGGGAGGGGGGGGTGCTTTCTTTAAAAGTCTAATTCTATTCTCTCCACCACACAGGTATACTTAATGGAAGAGGCATTTCATTGGGTATGAAATACTGCAGGAAATACGGCCACTCAGACAATCCCATGTGAAATCTAGGAATTGCTTTTTGAGGTAAATGCCTTTGATGCATATAATTTGACACATCTTACACAGGATCCCTCTTTTCTTGTGACCAGAGCAAACCACTCCCTAAGCTTGAGGTTTTCCTGGTCTTGGCACTGTCTGAGTCATAATAGTACGTTAAAAGGCATTCCCATCAGCTAAGACTTTCAATGTCTCCTTGGACTGGCCATTTTCAGAAGCTTCTGTGGTCTGCCAAGGGAAGATGCAGGTTTTACTCTGTCTGGTTTGTGCCTTTGGCCTTTTTGGTCAGTATCATCCGGCACCTTTACCACTGGAAGATGATGGATCGGTGCATCCGACAAGACCTGCTCAGAATGACCTGTCCCTGGCAACAGTAAGTCCTTCTTTTGTACCTTTTTCATGCAGTTAATACATGCAATTTAATTATTTTATTTTCTTTGTGAAAACATTTTGTGTATATATTGTACTGTGTATATATATATATATATATATATATTTAGGAGAAAGATACTGTAATAGAGATATTGTGTTCTTATTGATGATATTCCATTCTCACTATCAAATTTTTCATTAGATGTAATTCAAGTGTTTCTATTTCTATTTATTTCTATCTATTCGGTCTTTACATACATGAACAAATGTACAAATAACAGTCTATTTGTTCATACCTAATGTGAATGTTTGCAGTTTTACATGTAAAAAAAAAAAAAACACAAATTGGCATAATATAATGAAAATGCAGCTTATTTTCTTTTGAACCTAAAAGCATATTGATGATAAAGCGAAGCTTATCAAGTGGATGAAATACAGCAATGGAGTGAAAATATAATGATAGTTGATACTTATTGCAAGTGTGAGTGGTTGTGAGTTGTGCAATGGAAGTCATTTGAAAGCAAAATAAGGAATGCAATGCAATCTGTGGATCATTGGCTTTCGGCTATGTATTGTGAAACCATAGCAGAAAACAAGAGATGCCATAGAAACATGAAGCGAGCTGTTAAAGATGTATATGTGCTACATATGTGCTCATTATATGAACTAGCAATGTCACTGTGAATGCTCATATTGGCTCAAACTAAAGAGGTTGCATTTCCAGCACTGAATGATAACTTAAACATTAGATCTGTTCAAACATGATGCTTGTGATATCTTGGAAAAGCAGAACGTTCTGTTGAAATTTAATTGGCTATTTCCTTCTTGCTCAAAGGCACCCTGACAGGGCTCTTGGCAGCCATGTGAGGCTCAATGTGTCCAAGAAGGGAAATACTGTTGCATGTTTTCAGGACGTGTTTTTCTTTTTCCTTTTTCTTTTTTTTCAGCCTGTATGTTTGATGAACGTGAGAAAGAAAATGTATTCCACCCTTTTAGACTGTCGCTTGTTTGTCTGGAGTCTGCTAATGTTGTATTTAACATGCTACAAATTGAGCCCAATTGTACAAGGAATTTTATTTTATCTATTCTCCTCACCGCAAACAATTTTACAATTAGCCACTTTAGCATTTTATGGCAGAAAGGCAGTGGGGCCACAATTATATCTGTTTCAAACATTACTTTACTGCCATTTCTTGGACTGTAACTTACAATTACATGTTTCTTTAAATACTGTCCTCCTACTCATTCAGGTTACCCGTTTTAGCACTATCCACCAAAAAAGCATTTATAGAGGGTTTCATGCTAAGTCTGCTTTACTGGAATCCAACACTGTGGAATGTCTCGAGACATGTCATGTTCTCATAAAACTAATTAAATAGAAATTGATAGATGGAAACATTACTAATACCTGCATAAATCACTACATGTAAGGGATAATATATTATGGATGCCCGTTTCAGCACCAGAATAAAAAATTACTGGGGACTAGGGACTGTGACTTTTTATTCTTTCTTTTGTGACTTTTTTTCCCCCACAAAATTCCCGCAATTTCCCACACAGTTTATAACTTCAAATTGTGAGAGATAAACTCA